GGAAATACCTTCATTTTTCCTACCTATGCCTACGCATTTACCTACATGTTCACATGAATGATACATGGAGAAGGTCCTTGTCTTCTGAATATGTGCAATTTGAATGCCCTAGCTAAAGTGAATCAAAGCACGCAATATCCTAAGTAGGTGAGAAAGTCTCTTAGTTAAACCATCTCTAACTTTGGAGTGTTTTGAAGTGGCAGAGAAGAAAAAATGAATCTCAAGTTGTGGGATACAGAAGAAAAATAGAGTTAATTAAGAAAAAAATATATAATGCTTTTTCAAGTGGTCCCATGTATTCAAAAAGAGTCACCAAGGCAATGTTTTGCATCCACCAGGAGCGCCTGTGGACAGATCAAGTCACTACTGCTTCGCTGTGCTCAACAAACGCATCCAATGAAGTAGTACCAGGAAAGTAAGGACTCAGCTATAAAAGTGGCCAGTTTAAACCGAATAACCTCACTAATAGGGGCTATTGTTCAGCGTGGAAGTTCCCATTTTCCAATCAGGAAAATACAACCCTCTCTGGGCTGTGTCCGACTGATCCCTTCCCACCTATGGTTCAACCATCTGCCACCAGCCAGAGGCTTTTATTACCTCCCTTTCCAGGAAATGCTAAGCAACTTCCTAGTAAAGTCGCCCGAAAGCAGGAGTGGACAGCAAAAGGACACCCCTCAGGAATGCCCAGGTCCCCGACTAGCCAGGTTCTGTTTTCAGCAGAAAAGAAACTTTGTCCAGAGAGCTCCGGACCAGGAGACCCCCCGACCTGGCCTGGCCCGCTCCTCTCCGCAGCCGCCGGCGGCGCCGGGCTCCCTCCCGACCCCTTCGCGCTCTACTGAGTAGCCAACCCGTCCGCGCGAGGTCCCCTCGCAGGGCCAGGGCCTGGGGCTGTCTCTCCATTTAGGGAGAGACGCCCGCCGGGGACCCGCGGCAGCACCGCGTCCACTCGGTCCGCCCGCGGTCTGCTTCCAGAGCTTGCGCGTCCCCGCCACCGCTCGGGAGAGCGGGCTGCGAAGAGCCCGGTTTAAGCGTTCCCAGCAGAGGTCCGCGCCTATACCGACACCCCGCCCCCGCCAGTAGTTTTCTTCTTCTTCAGCCCCGGGTGTATACCGGACCACACTGACGTTGGTGTAGATATGATGCCGGACACTTGAAAGCCTGGATAACTTTGATGTTTTCGACTATAAATCCCTAATTGTACTTAATGGTTACAAATGGCTTTATTTACTTGTCGCTGTATCTACACATTTTAATCTATTTAACCAAAGAGCAGAGGCATATTTCACTCCCCACTCCCTGAAAAGGAAAAGCAAGAATCGAGACCTCTAATTTGCTTTTAGGATCTTCTAGTTCTTTGGCTGTGAAAGCATTAGAGCTCCAAATCGCAACATTGATTAGTCTTCAAACCCGCCTGAAAACACACACACACACACACACACACACACACACACACACACACCCCCTCCTCTTCTGCTCCATCTGAGGAGATGTTGATGTATATTGTAGCTGCAAGGTGTTAGATATACTTGAGCAAGTTGTTCCCAGGATGTAAATTAGGTCCCAAAAGCTGTTGTCCAAATCGAAGAAACAGAGAAATTAATCTGGGAGACTATCCATCATCACCGGTAATAAAGAGAAGGACATGGATGAGACAGATGATATGATTAAGGGGCTGTGGTCGTTTTAATTAACTTTTTGCTGTCCTGTAATGATCAAACTGGTCACCAGACCCGGTCAATAAGCATGTTAATATCAAACAAATAAAACCAGGGATGATTAAAAACCTCCTGGTTTATTAAATTTGAAATTCAAATGAAATTTATGCTGCAGATGCATACAGAATGCTAATAGATTTTAGCTTTATTGAAAGTGGATCCCACAGGTTTGCAAGAAACAGCAGAATATCCCTCTACCTCCTCCCTACCAGCATGTTAAACTTCATTTGGAGTGGGGGAAACTTTTAATTGTTAGAAAGCCTGCTCTTCTCATCTTCCTTCTCCTTTCCCTTTCAGACCTCTAGATTATCTTGGTATAATACTTGGAAGTAATTGTCAACATCACAAAAGGTAAACTGAGTTCTATGCAATGTGAAATGCTTTGCTAGACAGGCTGTATCTACAATAAATTACAGATATTCCCCTATGTGGGGGATTTAAAAACGATGGAGTCATTTCTGGCAAGTGGAGAAAGAGATACCATTAAGACTAGTTTCATTGAAACCAGAAACATTATTACCGTTTTAATGTTTGGTCAATTATATAATTTTCTTTGTCTTTCCTTTTTAACTGTGCTGTCTGATGACTTAAGACAAACACTGACCACTTATTGGGGGAGGGGAGATGGAGGGAGAATAGCATAAGAAAAAAAATGCCCTTTGACTAATACTAGTACTATGAAATACATACCTGACTTTTTAAATGGGAGTAAGTGGAATAAATGTATATTTGTGTAATCTTCTAATGAAGAAAGATCCACTCTGAAAATCCCCAAATGCTACAAGGCAACCTTATGTAAATCGAAGAATCCAGTATATTCATTAAATCCACACACACTTTGTGACCCATTGTCATAGGAAGAATTCATGACTCTAAGTGAATTTATAGAAATAAAAAACTTAGAGGTAGGTATCTCAAAATAGTAGTTTTTCAAGAAACAGTGGTCAATGCCTCTGTTTACTCTCAGAATCAGCATTTAACTTTTTAATAGTCCTGTCCCACTTCCTTCCAGAAGATAGGAGGATAAAAAGATTAAATAACTATTCATAGAAGGGAGTCTTTCCTCAAAGCTTTTTTCCCCTTCACCTTTGAGGGTAACGGTATTGATTAGAATTAAACCCTAAATTTGAACATCTGTGTATTAGGTTCTTAAAATGAATATCATTATAGAAGAAGACCAAAGCAATGAAGTTAATTCTCTTTTATTTGTTAAACGGAGTTCCCTCCCTCCCCCACCCCTTCCTCCTTCTGGGCTGGCCTGTCACGCCTTCTCAACACGCTGAAATCATTCAGAGTGGCTTGCAGGGAGAAACGCGACATTTATGGTAAGCGTCAGCCTTCAGAGAAAGAAAGCAGTTCATTAATTTACTTCACACTTACTTCAAAGTAGGAGAGTGTACCTTATCCCCTTAATCAATAGATATGATGTACAGTCAATATCCCAACAATGTTAAAAAGGGGTCAGAAACACTCTCACACCACAACATCAGCCTCAACTCTGTCAATGAAACTTACACAAATGATACTACTGACTTTGGATTTCAATAAACCCCAGGAGGATCTTTTTTTTTTTTTTTTTTTTTTTTTTTGACATCTCTGGAAGCTGTGATACACTTGAGGAGTGTTAAAAGACAAAACAAAAACAAAACAATAAAAATGTTTACCCAGTCGAAACAAAACAATTCTCCCAGCTAGTAACATTTTTATCAATTCTACCTTAAAGTTAGATTTCGGAGACCATTTATAACTGTTTAAAAATAGGAATTTTTAAAAAACAAATGAATAGTCAATAGGGCTCCAAGGACTGTGGACTTTTTTGCTACACTGATGTGGTCCTTTCTGTGGTTTAAGATGTTTCCTTCTGGTGGCAGTGAAATTGTAATGACATTTCTGAATGCAACTAATAACACAAATGGCAAGCAAGTGACTAAAACCCACTGAATTTGAACTGAGTGTATCTATTAACATGCACACACATTCATGGATATCTGGCCCAAACGCTATTAGACACAGACGCCTCCATACATGTGGTCCAAGATTTGTCAAAACCTTGTCTCTATTCTCAGATAAATAAAACACATATCAATCAAAACCCCAATTTTTCTCTCAGAAAGACGCAGTGGGGATTTCCTGTGAAGACTTCTAAATTCCACAAAATGCTCCTCAATTTCTCACCCAAAGAAAAAACAATACTCTCTCACCCATTCTCTATCTAATCCTTTTGTATTGAAATTTACTCATAGCCACGGGGCAAACACACCCCCTCCCCTAGAGTGAGACTGGCACTTCCAAAGACGAATCCCACCTCAGGAGGGAAAAAAAAAGAAAAAAAAGAAAAGAATAAGAAAGCCACGGCTTCAAAGTAACAACTCGTGGACGCAAGAGCACACACGTCCTAACTCACGCCTAAAAAATAACCCTCAGCCTCCCCCTTTCTACCCTTCTGCTGTACAATCGGGAAAGGAAAGGTAGGTATTAATACGATCTTCTTCCTAGTGACGATGTCCACGAAGTTACGAAAAAGATCACTCAAGATTTTAGGTACAAGGAACCAGAGGAAGCTGGTGACAGGGATGGCGTTTGTGCATATTTATTGATTCAGCCTCACTCAACTCCGCAGATTCATTTTTCAAATCGCCAATCTCTCCTCTCTCTTAGGTATGGACCCTTTACTGCCCTGCTCCTGTTCTTCACTCCCAGCACTGTCACACACGCTCGTGTCCCTCACACCCATTCACACAGCCCTCCTTCCCCACATCCAGCGCACACTCATTCCCCTCCTCCCGCTCCCCCCACAGCGAACACTCACACCACCCGCCCCTCCCTCCCTGGTTTGTCACTCACAGTTACTTACACTATAGTACACTCACACCTTTCCCCTCCACACTTTACTGATCTGCCCTCCACCCTCCCTTTGTCACACGTAGTTACACTGTCACTCACAACACTCCCCACTTCTCGGCACTGTCCCTCCCCGTCCTCCCTCCTTCACCACAGTTACACTGCCACACTCACATTCACTATCCCCCTCCCCGGCCTCTGTCTCAGCTCGGGCACACGCACAGTTACACACTCACACACCCGCTTTGTAACACACGCAGTCCTCGCGCCCCTCCCGCCGCCTCGCCCCCCCCCCCCCCCCCGGGCCGGCGGCGGCGGCGCCGATGACCTCACGGCGCGCGCGCGGCGCGGCCCGGCGAGGCTGCAGATTGGCTGACCGCGCCTCCGCGGCACTTCAAAGCCGGAGAGGGAGCTACAATTGTGGTGGAATGGGCGGAACTGATCATTGTATTGCACACCTCTAAAAAAAACACTGCCTCTGATTTATCAATATAAAAAAGATCCTCTGAGAGGAGGAGGGCACTTTTGTGTGATGGCAACTTCACTTCTAGGGGTGAGTCTCAGGATTTTCTCTTGCTGGTTTAATTAGTTTCCTTTTATTGCCGATCGGAGGGGGTTAAAGTCGCCCCGGCCAGGCCACGGGCTATCAGTCTCTATAGAGAGCTGTTTTTTTTTTTTTTTTTTCCCCTTTAAATACAAGTGAGTTTGGAGAAAAGAAAGAGGGGGAGGGGGGCCGAGTCACTTTTTTCAGTGCAGGAAAAGGTTCGAAGGGCATTTAGACAAGCCACCTCGCAGCGCCCGGCCGCTCCCTGCCCGGGAGACGTGCGCCCTGCCCATTTTACTTGCGACGATTTCGGGGGTAAAGAGATCAAGTTTTTCCAACTGGGCAAACTGCAGATTTTCCCTCTTACCCTTAAAAAATTCCGCAGCCCGCCTTGTCTTGCAGGTACGTTGAACCCGTCTCATTTTTCTTATACTATTGTAGACAATTAAAAAAGAAAAGAAAATGCAAAGAACAGTAGGAAGAGCGACTGGGCCAGCCTAATAGTTTGACCTCTTTTGGCCTGGGAGACACAATCCAGGATGGGTTTCTGGGGACCGGAACAGGATTTTCGAAGCTCTTTCTGGATTACATGGGAAACGCTTTTAAAAGCAATCCAATGGTTTCCCCCCCAGGCTTCTCCGCCAAGGAAATTTCCTTTCTCCCTAATCTGGACTTTTGCTTGCTTGTTGTTTCGAAGTGCCTGGGGCCTTGTGTGCAGGAAAGTGTTGTTTTAGGTGAGAATATTTGTTAAACTCTTCTTTAGCCTGGCGCTTTTGCTCCCGAATCAGACGCTGGCAACCAAACTTGTCCCCTCCCCTAGACTAGGAAGCAGCCGGGCGCCAGTGCTATTGGGGGAGCCAGGTAAATCGGTGGCGGCAGCCGCAGAGAAGGGGTGAAGTGGGGCGTTTTGAGGGCTACCAGAGAACTGATGCAGATTTCTTTCCTCCCTCCCTCACCGGCCCTTTGCCCACCTCCCATCCCCCACCTCTTCTCCTCTCCCCCTTCCCGCAGGAAGAACCGAGGTTGGGATCAACTCCTCTGGCCATGCTTGCTGCTACCTGTAATAAGATCGGCAGCCCCAGCCCGTCTCCCTCCTCCCTCTCGGACAGCTCCTCTTCTTTCGGCAAAGGCTTCCACCCCTGGAAACGTTCCTCATCGTCCTCCTCCGGCAGCTGCAATGTAGTGGGTTCAAGCCTCTCAAGCTTTGGCGTGTCGGGGGCCTCCAGGAACGGCGGCTCCTCCTCGGCGGCTGCGGCGGCGGCGGCGGCGGCTGCAGCGGCCGCGGCCCTGGTGTCCGACTCGTTCAGCTGCGGAGGCTCGCCGGGGTCCAGCGCCTTCTCTCTAACCTCCAGCAGCGCCGCCGCCGCCGCCGCGGCCGCCGCGGCCGCTGCCTCCACCTCGCCCTTCGCCAACGACTACTCGGTGTTCCAGGCCCCTGGCGTCTCCGGGGGCAGCGGCGGCGGCGGTGGCGGCGGCGGCGGCGGCTCCTCGGCGCACTCGCAGGACGGCTCCCACCAGCCCGTGTTCATCTCCAAGGTGCACACCTCGGTGGACGGGCTGCAGGGCATCTACCCGCGCGTGGGCATGGCTCACCCATACGAGTCGTGGTTCAAGCCCTCGCACCCGGGCCTGGGCGCCGCCGGCGACGTGGGCTCGGCCGGCGCCTCCAGCTGGTGGGACGTGGGCGCGGGTTGGATCGACGTGCAGAACCCCAATGGCGCCGCGGCGTTACCGGGCTCGCTGCACCCGGCCGCCGGGGGGCTCCAAACTTCGCTGCATTCGCCGCTGGGGGGCTACAACTCGGATTACTCAGGCCTGAGCCACTCAGCCTTCAGCAGCGGTGCCTCCTCGCACCTGCTCAGCCCCGCCGGGCAGCACCTCATGGACGGCTTCAAGCCGGTGCTACCCGGTTCCTACCCGGACTCGGCCCCATCGCCGCTGGCTGGCGCCGGGGGCTCCATGCTGAGCGCCGGGCCGTCGGCGCCGCTGGGGGGCTCCCCGCGCTCCTCCGCGCGCCGCTACTCGGGCCGCGCCACCTGCGATTGCCCCAACTGCCAGGAGGCTGAGCGGCTGGGCCCGGCGGGGGCGAGCCTGCGGCGCAAGGGCTTGCACAGTTGCCACATCCCGGGCTGCGGCAAGGTGTACGGTAAGACGTCGCACCTCAAGGCGCACCTTCGCTGGCACACGGGCGAGCGGCCCTTCGTGTGCAACTGGCTCTTCTGCGGCAAGCGCTTCACCCGATCCGATGAGCTGCAGCGGCACCTGCGGACCCACACCGGTGAGAAGCGCTTCGCTTGTCCGGTCTGCAACAAGCGTTTTATGCGCAGCGACCACCTCAGCAAACACGTGAAGACGCACAGCGGCGGCGGCGGCGGCTCCGCCGGCTCGGGCAGCGGAGGCAAGAAGGGCAGCGACACCGACAGCGAGCACAGCGCCGCGGGCAGCCCGCCCTGCCACTCCCCGGAGCTGCTGCAGCCCCCAGAGCCCGGGCATCGCAACGGCCTGGAGTGACGCGCACCCCGCGCCTATCCCTCCCCTTCACCTCCTCCCACCCCGCTCCGCTCGGTCCCTGTCTGTCCTGGCCTCTGCTCCAGCCTGTCTCCACTGCATACTGCTCGCTGTCTGTCTCTGTTCCTCTCTTCTAACTCTCTCTGTGACTTAACTTTGTAAGGGGATGTGGATATGTAAGTAACGCGCTTTGCCGTCCTGGGCTCTGGCTTTCTATCTCCACCCGGTTACACCGTCCGAGCCCCGCACAGCCGGAACCCGCGCCTCGCCGGGCCTTTAATTCTTGCCCCTCCTCGTCCTCCTCCTTCCATCCCATGGTGTGATGGGCCTGATTTTTAGAGGGAAGCGGCCCTGGAAGTAGAGTTGGACGATTCCAGTGCCTGGGAGTCGGGCCTGCGCCCAGGCGGGAGCAATTCGGCTGAACCAGGTTAAGCTGCGCCGTGGGGAGGGCGAGGCAGGAGGCCGGCGCCGGGCATCCCCGCTGGGGCAGCCGCCGACTTGGTTCCAGAACAGTCTGACCACTGCCCGCCCTACGCCGAGCGGTCGGAGCTTTGTGCGGTGCCCATCTGTCCGCACCGAGATCCGCAGTATGCTGAGTTTAGTTGTCCCAACGTCAGCTCTGCCTCTTTTTGTTTGTTCCATGAGGTGGAGACGATGCAAGTTTCAGCTAAGGGCAGTCTTGGTGAATCGCTGCAGCAGCCTTCTTTCATCTTTATAACATTTTTTAAAAACTAAAAACCTAAAGAAAAAACAAGCATCCTTCCGCTCGGTTTCCCGTCTGGATAGCTTTTCTTCTAGCAGTGAGCAAGTCTTCTTTCTCTCAAAACTGTGCTAATATTGATCCCAAAGTTATTTTGATCGCATTAACTTAACTTATGGGGTGGGGGTGGGGGGTGAGGGTAGGTGTCTTTCTTATGCAAAAATACCCCCTTTCCGGTGAGAACAGATTCACTATCTCCGTGTTTGTCCTTTTCTACCTCGTTTTTCACCACTCCCGAGCCTAATCCACCCCCTCTTTTTTTTTGCTATTCCGGACATCAATTTGTATAGTACTATAGTACCCATATCTGTAAATTCTTGCAATTCATTGAAGATTCTTAGGGTGAAACTTTTTTTGTGTGATTTAAACTTATAAACAAGTGAAGAAGCAATCGTTCATTTCAGACGATGCTGTAGTTAAAATGCCAAAAGATGGAAATTAAGGGGGGAAAAAACTTTGTAAAATATATCTGAACCTAATGGTTTGTACAACTGGAGAATCGTTCTAGATTAGTTACCAATTAACTATACCTCCACCAGTGTATGGGTGCGAGGTGCAGTTGTCCAGGAGACGATTTTGTATAGTATTTTTCTTGTACATTACTTCCAGTAAATATTTGAAAATATATTGAAGTAAACTAGATTTTTTTTTTTGTTACAAGAAAATATTAAGAGTTATTGTTGCAGTTCTGATGAGCTGCAGGGTTTTTGAACTCACTTCTGGAGGTGCAGAGCCACAAACGCACTTTCGGGGCCTAGTTTTGCTCGAATATTAATTTAGATAGGTATCAAACTGTAACTAAGACAATATTTGATAAATGTGGGATGACATTTAATTTAATGGAGCATGTACTTATTTGCATTTGCTGGCAGTTCAGGTAAAGTGAGAGTTCTCCTATATTTCATAACTGGGTTTGCCAAAACCCATGTATTAAATAAATTGTCCAAGTGAAACTCAACTAACTTTGGCCTTTGTGTATTTCCTGAAGGTAATATTGTTAACTGTTAATAAACACTCCTGACACTACATTTAAATGTTTGCAAATTCTGCAAACTAATTGCTCATTGTAATGTTGAAATAATTTGGATATTTCACATTGAAATGAAAAGCCTTTCTCTGGAACATTTTAGACTTGCATTTTAAATGCATGAAATGTAATTGATTTATTTGTAATATTTTAAATGGTATTAATAAACTCAGATAAAAGACTAGGCAAGTTAAGTTGTATTTTTTCCTGTTTAAACTATGGACATTTACATTTTATTATCAGTTAAATGTCTAATTTAAACAAAATATAACCCTGTTTTGTGGTAATATTTAAATAATTGCCTTTATTATTACTTAGATAGAATGATCTATTTGGCAAAACTGTTTTCTCTATTTACCAAGATAAAGATTATAGTGTCTAAGAAATGTAATTAATTATTTACCAGTAGGTTTAGCTCAAAGCATCAGGATTTACTGACCTCTTAAAATTTGGACTAAGTAATCAAACAATTCAAAGAAATTTCCCATTTTGCTTCCTTCTCAATCTCCAGAAGGAGTCAGGTTGATTGCATTTGGTATTTAAAAGGGCAAGACTTACACTAGAAGATCAATACATCTAAAATAAAAACATGGGTTCGGGGATAACTTTTGTTGTTAGGGGGTGGAGGAGGTCAAGCTAACAAAAGCTTGTTTTTGGCATTCCATGTCTTAGCTAAAGATTATGTAGAGGTAAATATCAGAAGAAGATCCTGTTGAAATGAGTTATCTGTTCTTTTAAAGTCTCTAAACAGCCACCAAAGAAAAGGAAGGTTAAACCTTAATCTATTTACTAGGCTATTGTTCACAGGTGTCAATGATGCCAATAAAAAATATTGTCTTGTTATGTCTAAGTGCATTTAAGCAATGGGTTCCTTGAGCCATACTTCGAAACGTTAAAAAATTTAAATGTTGATTGCTGTTATATCAATCTATTTCACTATTAGATTAATATTATTTTGAATCAAATTGAATAAAAAGTTAGTGTGTTCAGATTCTTTTAAGTTTAGCTTCTTTCTTTCCGTTTGCATTCTCCCCACCCCAAGTTCAGTCTTGGTGTATATCTGGAACAGAAAATCTTCTATTGAAATATATATAAAGCCATTATTATCCATATAAACAAGTGAAAATACAGAGTGCTAGGAGTATTGTAAAGTTAGAAGAAAAAAGCAAGTAGGGCTAAGATATTTTAGGATAATGCAATCTGTGCTTAAGTAGCAGACTGTCTTGATCCTGCTGTCTGTGCAGATATTTGAAACCCTCCAATCCTTATGGTTTTAGGGAAGCAAGTTATCTCTGATTCTTTGGTATACTTAATCTCTAAATAATGGTTTTAAAAAGTAAAATAGTCTCTTTCTGTCACTTTCTTCCTAGGAATAACACGCAGAGCACAGTTTAAGTGTTGTTTCTTTTTTATTGAAAGTTGCAGTGCTGAGGAGGAAACGGTTCTGAAGGAGTTAAATGTAGTGGCAGGTAAGGAAAGCTGCGTGGTACATTTATAATATCAGTTGCATTACATACAGATCACATTTGATTTAAGAGGTGGATGATGACAGATATTGTCTACAAGAAGATTTCTTTGGGATGGTTGAAGGGGGACAGATTTTTCTGTAGTGTAAATTGCAAACTTTCACTTTCTTCACTCCTCTTCCGCCTAGCTTTGGTGTATTTTGTTGTGATGACTATTGAGCTGTATTTCTAGACTGTTGTTCTGTAGGGTGGGCAGGGTTCCCTTTTGGGGAAGGACAGTGGATGAAGTGCAAAATTGTGATTTCTCCCTGCCTGTCCGTGATAAAGCACCGCTAACAGTGCCTTGGAGGTTCACTCAAATGAAGCTAAGTGCTGTGTTTCACTTTGAACCGAGAGACAAGCTTCCAGCCTTGCAGATCAAGGTAGAGTTAAACTAGTTGTTGACCCAGAGGTCAGGCCAGCATATATGTATCAGTCCAGTCTCAATCCAGCCTTTCTGTTGACCTGTCTCATTTTTTCCCCAATTTCAATGTTTCCTCTCTATTCTGCTTTCTCCTTTCCAGGCTCAACTTCTTTTAGGATATTCTCTTTTGCTTGGGGGCATACGTGACTGATTTGTTGAGGTTGGACTATCAACTAAAATATTTTATGATAGAAGCTTAATTTAAGCAAATGTGATGAGTTACTTACTCTCCTATTATCAACTGATCTTAGAAAAAGTTCCTGGATGGATTTGCCTTCCTTCCACTGTCCTTTTACCCCAGTCTTGGTATAACTTCTCACTGAGCTTTCCTTAGGGAGGGAATGCTGAAATAAAAAATTAAAGACAAGCAGGTGATGAGACTGGACTCCTGAGTGGACAGATCAATAATCCTGCCATCAAAATTTTCATCTCCCCTCAGATCTTTTGGTGAGATTATTGAATGTAATGTTATTGCAGGCTTGTGGAGGAATTTCTCTGAAGTAAATATTTTAGAGGATTAGCTAAAAGGTCAGATGACCATTTAGTTTGGTAAATTAAGGCAGGAACTTTAGAGGAAAAAGCCATAGATTTGATTATTCTCCGCTCACCTAAAATGATAGAGATAAATATTATAATGAAATAAGTTCTGCATTTTGCTCAATTTTTCATACACATAGCCTCAAAGGGAGATTGCTTTGATGTGGGTATTTTGAATAAATTGGTGGTTTTGCTTTCCTACTGATTTTTTTTTTTTGCTGCTTCTGTCCAAACCAGCATTATTTCTCCCTACACTCCTAACAAAATTCAGGTATGATCAAGTCTCTTTCTTTTTAAAAATATGATTTTTACAGTTGTCTGTTTTAATAATAATAATTTTAAAAAGCCCAGTAGATTAATTCTATCACTGCATTTAAAGAAAACCATGTTAAGTAAAGATTCAAAAAGAGTGAAGTGTAGACTGATGCTACTTGTTTTTAAGTTAGGACTGTTGCTCTGGGTGGCACCTTCTGAAGACTTTGCTTGATACACAATTGTTGCTGTTGTTTAAAAAATAAGATTCAGAATTTGCTTGTGCCCTATTTATTCCCAGCTTCCGGATTAAAGGAAAGCCGGTAATTCTTTGCTCTTCTGGGCTCTGGCCGCTGCGATTTAAGGTGATGCGCGTCAGTGGGCATCGTTTTAGGTTCGCTGTACTCCGTGTGCACACAAATGTAGATTTGCTGTAGTGGGGGGTGGGGGTAGGGGTGGGGGAGCGGGATCTATTTTCTTTGGTCCCTGGGCGTGTGTTTA